GTGTAGTAAATCCTAGTTAAGTACAGGGTAAGATGGAAAAACTGCAACCAACTTCAGACTGCTGTCATTTCTAAGTCACTAGCCCGACAGCTGTTAAAATTATTCCAGTGACAGCTCATTATATTGTTTACAAGCGTACAAAAGCATTTTGGAGAGAATTTTCCAGAAAAAAAGTTATTCGTGATAGAATTCAAGGGTGATAGTCTGATTTCTTTATATTTGGCTGGAAAACCACAAGTGGCTATCGTTAGAGCACTTCCGCATTTAAATGTGAATAAACCTTTTGTATATCGTACCATCGCTCGTTACCGTGATACAGGTAGAGTAGCCCGACGTCAAGGAAGTCGACAGAAGAAAACAGCAACATCAGCAGAAATGGTTCGAAAAGTAAAGAAGCGACTTGATCTAAACCCACGTCGCAGTGACCGAAAAATTGCTAAACATATCGCAACATTCCATTCGGCAAATATTGAAAAATGAGCCATTGAAATTCCAAAAAGTGTAAGCACTTACACCGCAACAGAAAGAAAATAGACTCACAAGAGCTAAAGAAAGTGGCCGAAAGTGGTGTACTGCCGAAGTTAATTTTTTCCGATAAGAAACATTCGTTGGCCAGCAGTTTGTAACAAACAAAATTATCGTGTTTACTTGCCAAAGAGGTCAGCTGAAAATGTTCACCTTCGGTTGGCCACCAGAACTCAAGCGCCGTCCATGGTGATGGTGTGGTTCGCCATAACAGCCGATTGTCGCTGTCCGCTCGTATTATTCGACCGTGACGTTAGAATAAATGCCGAATATTATTGCGAAAATATTCTGGAGAGTGTATTAAGGCCTTGGTCACGCAAACATTTTGGCCGCAGACCTTGGACATTCCAACAGGATTCAGCACCATCGCACTCAGCACGCGCCAACCAAGAATGGTTACAAAATGAGGTTCGCTTCATTTCAAGCGGACAATGGCCATCAAAATCTCCGGATACCAATCCGTTGGAGTATTGTGTCTGGAGTATTTTGGAAAGTAAGGTTGGCACTAAGAAATACCAAAGTGTCGATCACCTCAAACAAGCGTTTCGCCGGGAAATACCTTCGCCGGACTAAAATACCTCAAAGCAACATTCGGGCAGCGTGTGACGGTTTCATTAACCATTTGAAGGCCATAGTTCGTACCAAAGTTGACCAATTCGAACAAATCTAAACTTATTCTAAAATTTGATGTTATTTCCGACATTTTTTGCTTTCGTTCAATAAAATTAAAAAAAAAATGATAAAAGTTGTGGCGTTTGACTTTGTTGCAGTTTTTTATCTCATCTGTAATTCCAAAATTCACTCCATTCAGACTAATATTAAAAATCTAGTGCACAATAAACGTGAACCCGGTCGAAGATATATAAAGAAGCTATATCCGAATCTTAGCCGATCTCTTTCTGGGCTGTATCTGATACCTGATACCTGCTACCAGATATCATTCATGTTACATTAGTACGAATATGAGGGACTTTAAACCCCAAATCGAATGAAACGAATATATATGGGAGCTATAGTTATATGTTCACAGATCTTCACCAAATTTGATGTATTTGCTTTTAGACTGAATTCGGTCGGATGTGACAAGATGCAGGTCATTTTGGCTGATATTGGCCCTTTGGTACACAATTAACCTGAAATTGGTTGAAGACCAAATTTGAACCAATTCTCACGAATGGGATTCAATAGGGTTCGTCCTTGAGCCAAAAAAAAACATTTGTTTGGAAAATTTTATCTCAATCAGATATAAATGCGAGCTGCATTTTGTTCACAAGAATACATGGACGACTCAGAAAAATATTCTATGAAGATCCTCAAAAGTAACTATGGGTCTATTTCGCTTCTCGGTCGATTTTACGCCCTTAGTCTATTTTTGTTAGGCTGTGTAAAAGCTAATGTCCATACAGATGACCCCGCTTCAATTGGCCCATTGCAAGGCAACATCAATTCATTTAATCGTGAAATACCGTGAAATATTGGAAGGAGTATACCAAAATTAAATTAAACGGGTTAATGAAAAAATCTTCAAACATTAAATCATTTTTTCAATTCGATAGAGATTTCTTGCTTTTTTTCTAAATTTTATATGTTTTCTATGATTTCATCCAAAATTCTCATAAATATTATTATTTGGGGCTCGTAATATTCACCGATCTGTCTGGCAGATTTTATTATACCCTCCACCTTGGAAAGGAGGGTATATTAACATTGTCCTTACGTTTGCAACATGTCTAAATATTCGTCGTAGATCCCATAATGTATATATATTCATAATCAGCATAAAATTCTAAGTCGATTTAACGATGTCCGTCTGTCTGGAATTTGGGGTATTTATTGAAAAATCTTCAAATTTTTCAATGAAATTCTTTGAAATTTAGTACGACGAGTTCAAATTCATTTTTAATTCACTAACTTAACTGTGACTTACCTCTAAGTAGAATATCTCTTTTTCATTTTCCCTTGCAGGCCGTGATTAGACAATATTGTCATTTTTGTCAAGGTGAAAACAAGTTACAAGACCTCTTCTCCGTTTCTATTAAAATTTCCCATTTACCCCACTTCCCACCCACAAAACTATTTCCTACAAATAGCTACAATTACGAACAGAACACAATCATCCTCGCAACCCTACCCAGTCTCACATTCTAAGAATTCCACGAAACGCCAAACAATAAGGTGTATATTTGCAAAGTACTTCAAAGTACAATTCATTTGAAATTACATCAAATATTCTTTTCCAAAAATATTAGATTTCCCTTTTTCATGTTTTGTTCAGCGAAAACTTTCGCCTAATTTATGTATTTTATCCACCAACTGAGAATATAAGCCAAGAAGGTCATTTCATTTTATTACTTTAATATTGTTGGATTTTAATGAATTACGCCAGAGAATGGTGGAAAAATATTTCTAATAACTTTTGATAGGCTTAGAAAAGTTTCGATGAAGTTTTCTCAAAAAAGAAATTGCCTTCAATTTATAATTCGTGGAAAAAATATTCTAATAATCAAGGTGTAAAAATTAAAATTTGATTACAATTTTCCCCAAGCGAATAAAATATGTACTAAATGTTGCTTGATACGGTTTCCTTGTTGGGAAATTGTTATTTTCTCCGAAGAAAAACTGAGGGCAAAAAGTTTTCATTTTCGTTTTAAATGGGGGAGAGGTTGAATTAAAAAAATGGAAATTATAAGGAATTTTTTAATCACGCGGTTAATATGGAGAGGTGTTAAATTTAGTGGTAACCTTGAAAATATTGTAAAATTGTAGGAATTACTAATTACTGAAAAAAGGATAAAAGAAATGTATGTACAGGGTGAGATGAAAAACTGCAACAAAGTCAAACGCCATAATTTTTACATTTTTATACCCTACAACCCTATGTGTTGGGGGTATTATAAGTTTGATTGGGCCAAAGATTATGTAACACCTCGAAATATTGGTTTCCCACATAGGAAAGTATGTATGGATCTTCCTATCTCGCCAAACTGAGTCGATCTAGCTATGTATGTCCATCCGTCCGTCTGTCCATTTTAATTTGTAATCAAGCTACAGGTCGTAATTATGGCCCGATCATCACGAAATTGAAAATGCAGATGGGGATAGGGTCAGAATAGAACCCTATTGTTTTTGGAGATGATCGCAAAATATTTAGGGGTTGAATGGATCAAAAACTGAACAAATTTCCTGACAATTGAAGCCTGAGAAGAGAGTTAACGACGGGGAAGAACTCTAGAATTTTGGATGACCATTGGATTATATTTAGCTGTAAAATGGACCGAAACAACTAACAGCACAACGGATTGCGTAAATATTGGGCAAATGTTCCTGGTCAAAATGTTTAGGGTAATATCTGGGCAGTGTTCCGTGACAAAATTTCAAAAGCGAAATCTTCCAAAATGGATTTGGACATAAGGGGGCTTCTGACATATTGTAGTGTTGTATCACATGGTCGACGCCGCACGGCTATAGCCTTTGCTTACTTTTTTTTTTAATTTTATTGAATGAAAACAAAAAATGTCGGAAATAGCATCACAATTTAGAATAAGTTTAGATTTGTTCGAATTAGTCACCTTTGACGAGAAGTATGACATTCAAACGGCCGATGAAACCGTCACACACTGCCCGAATGTTGCTTTGCGGTATTTAGGCCCATTCCCGGCGAAGCGCTTGCTTGAGTTGATCGACACTTCGGCCTTTTTTAGTGCCAACCTTGCTTCCCAAAATACTCCAGACACAATACTCCAACGGATTGGTATCCGGAGATTTTTGTGGCCATTATGCGCTGGAAATGAAGCGGGAAACCTCATTTTGTAACCATTCTTGGAAGGCACGTGCTGAGTGCAATGGTGCTGAGTCCTATTGAAATATCCAAGGTCTGCGCCAAAATGTTTGTGTGTCCAAGGCTTTAATACACCCTCCACAATATTTTCGCGATAACAATTGTCATTTATTCTGATGCCACGGTCGATTAATACGAGCTGAAAGCGAACATCGGCTGTTGTGGCGGCCCACACCATCACCATGGCCGGCGCTTATGTTCTAGTGGCCAACCGAAGGTGCACATTTTCAGCTGACCTCTTTGGTGCTGAAAATGAAGCGAGGAACCTAATTTTTGGGTGACCATTCTGGGGTGGCGCGTGCTAAGTCCCGAGCTCATTTTTTCAATATTTGCCGAATGGAATATTTCGATTTGTTCAGCTATTTTCGAGCCTTTTTTCGGTCACTGCAACGCGGGTTTCGATCAAGTCGTTTCTTTACTTTTCGAACCATTTCTGCTGATGTTGCAGTTTTCCTCTGTACACTTCCTTGACGTCGGGCGATGTTACGAGATACAAAAGATTTATTTACATTGAAATGCTGGAGTGCTCTAACGATAGCCACTTGAGGGTTTCCAGTCAAAAATAAAATAATAAATAATATACTAATCTAATCAAAAAATTTCCACACTCCATATATTACAGACAATAATTAATAGGTACTTTATAATCAATTTTTATTTAAAACATTGCATATTTAAAATTAATTATGAGGTGGTAGGCGATTCTAAAACATCAAATAAAAAATCATATTATTTAAATATATTCCATAGAGGGTTTTCGACTTACATAGTTTTTTGCCATTGCAGTACCAGATAATATAGCCAAAGCAACTACAGCACTTAGAAAAAACTTCATGATTGAAACTAATTTGTCTACTGATCTGATTTCAGATGGCGAAACTTTGTTTTATATATCCAATTTGATTTTTAATTTGAAGCATTTTAATGAATGGAACGTGTTGGGACATATATTACCGAAATCATTATCGGAATTGCGGTAGAAGCCGGACATACTCAGGAGAATAGTATTATTTTAGTAGGACGCATCGACGTACACAGAAATTAATTATATTTAAATAAGTGGGAGATTTTAAGATATGTTTTGTGATCACTTTTTGAAAGAGGAAAAATACATACTTTAAAATGGCCATAACTCCTTAAATATTGACATTTCGGGGTTTTTAGCTATAATTTGTGATCACTTTTTGAAAGAGGAAAAATAGCATACTTTAAAATGGCCATAACTCCTTAAATATTGACATTTTGTGATTAGTTTTTTAAAGGGGAAAAATAGCATACTTTAAAATGGCCATAACTCCTTAAATATTGACATTTCGGAGTTTTTAGCTATAATTTGTGATCACTTTTTGAAAGAGGAAAAATAGCATACATTAAAATGACCATAACTGAGTGAATATTGATATTTCTGGGTTTTTCGACCGAAATGTGAACGTGATCGAGAATAAGTAGCTTACATTTAAAATTCATATTAAATAACAAAATTATTCTAAATATTAAAAATAAATTTTTTTAACAACATTTAATTGGTAGCGCATGTTAAGGGATAATTTAAAAAATCGAAATGGACATTAAGCTGAAAATATTGCAGATCTTCCATAGATAGAAGGGTAAAGAAATGTAAGGCTCTTGTTATGTTGATAATACATCACTTATTTGTAGATCCTTCTAAAATTATTTTTATACCCTACTACACTTTGTGTTGGGGGTATTATAAGTTTGATTGGGCCAAAAACTATGTAACACCTCGAAATATTGGTTTCCCAAATAGGAAAGTACATTTAGGGGTTAAAATGGACCAAAAACTGAAAAAAGTGATTTTGCAATTGCTCTACAGGTCGCAATTATAGACCAATCGACGCCGAAGTTAGCATGTGGAGCTTAGGGCTGCGCACAAGCCTTCCAATGTTGATGGTTATCGGGTAATATTTAGTGGATGAAATACACTATAACATTTGTGTTAATATAAGTCAAATTTTCATTAAACCGCGAATATATCGTCCGATCCTCACGAAAATTTTTGTAAGGGTATGAGCCTCATAGGAGCTAGGCCTACTGTTTTCAAAGACGTCCGTAAAAAAATCCTGATCACACAATTGAAGCCAACCGACACACCTGATTTATATTTAGCTATATTTAGCTAACAGCACGATGGGGTTCGTAAATATTGGGCAAATGTTCCTGGTCAAAATGCTAAGGGTAATATCTGTGCGATGCTCCGTGACATAATTTCACATGGACGCCCCCGCACGTTTATAGCCTTTGCTTACTAGTTCGTTTTGAATTCTGATTGACTGGGCTTCGGCCCAAACTGACATCGATCCTAAACTGACCACCACGGCTTTAATGGACTTGTATCCTCTTTTTTCATATGACGAATTTCCATCCAATGATGACCTAAGTCACTAAAATACAGCTAAATTATGAGGGTTATTCGAAATGAGTTCTTAATAGAAACTTTCCATAACTTGATGTCACAAAAATTTTCAAATTTTCATAATTCTAAAAAAAATTAAAAGTACATTAACCTTAGATACTTACAAAAATCATATCTAGAATCCACAAAATTACATGGCTCTAAAATATTTTTTTCAAAAAAGGCGGGGCCAAATATGGGAGTATCAGAGTGCCTGAGGTTCATGGACTTTTAGAATTTTTTTTCAATTATGAAAATTTTGTTGATTTAAAAAAATGGAAAATTTTTATTTTTTTTTTTTTTTGTGAGTGATTTAAAGGTACGTGCATTTTTAAAGTAAATTTTTCAGAAACCTGAAATTTAGTTGATTTTTTAAATTGCCTTTGTACTTTTCAGGTTGATTTTTAGAGTTAATAAAATTTGTGGATTTTTCAATGTTTTTTCTTAAGAACCCTGAAAGTTTGAATATTTTTTTAAGTATGTGTCATTAAAACGGAAAATTTTTAACAATATTAATAAAATTTTATGAACCTTAATCATTTAGAATATAGTATATTGACATCGATTTGAAACTAAAATATTTAGAAAACAGTTTATTTATTAATAATTCATTTTTTTGTTCATTTTCGATATGGTGCCGGAAAGAATGGTGGTGGACCCTACATTAAAAAAAAATATTCCAATTAATATAATCGTAATTTTCAATACTTTATATTTACAAAACTCACATGATTTGATGCCGATGCCCAACCAGTCAATATTGCCAGAGCAAGGCTCAGAGTCAGGGTGAACTTCATGTTTGGGAAAATGTTTTTACGATACTAAATTGGTATTCAAATCAAAGTTGTGTTTAAATCCGTTTACAACGCAGTGGCTCCATTAAGAAAATTCTATAGTGAAACGTGTTTCTGAATAATTTGAAAATTTAGAGGAATGGTTATAATCTGGCCCTTTTTTAAAAAAATATAAAATTTCGTATTAAATTTTTGGAAATATTTAAGCTTATTTTCTATATTAAAATTTAATTGTCTTCATTTTTTATTGTTATTTCAAGTTCTTTAGGTATCCGTATCCGGTAAGGTATCCGTTTCTGTTATATTTTTTCAAAACAAAAAAAAAAACATAGTACCCATAATTACTTCTACTTATCACTTTTGGCGACTAATTTACAAAACACTGTAACCCCTTTGATAACAAAAATCATAAATCATGCTATAACCCTTCACCTTGATTATCAGCCAATAAAAAATATCACCCACGCAAACTCAACATAAAGTCTTATAAATTTCTCTCAAATAAAATTTTGCCTCGAAAGCATCTTTCAATAAAAAGAAACGAAAAATAAATCCCGAATCATATTGGCTTAATTAAAATTATCGCACACCTGCATTTACCGACGCCGCCGCTGCTGCTTTTAAAGCAATTTATGACATTCATTAAAATTATTAATTAGCAATGAAATTCCCCAAGTAAACATTTGCCACAAGTGAATGGCATTTTCTCCAGACACTCGACTGCCATTCCCCGTGCCACACCCACAGCCACTCTTTCTTCCTCTCTCCCTCTCCCACACATTATAAATAAACAACCTAAAGATACTTTCGTTCATTGTAATTCTCGATTATTAGGAAAAGTTGACAATGTAATTAAATGTTTTGTTATCTTAACACTTCAACAGCCATTTTAGTTGTCTAAGCAGAAAAATTGATGGAGACGACCGAACCACCCACCCTCAGAGTGAAACACTCACATACAAACATACAGACGCACATAGATAGTCCTCATACATACTTACATGTAGGAAGTTGGGGAAGCAATTATGTTTTTACTACAAGCCGTCATACTGCTGCTTAAAGGAGATTGTTGAAGAAAAGCGTTTTAGTAAATAAATACTGCTGTAGCCGTAGATATATTTATGCGGATCAATATTTATAAATAACTCGGTAAATGCCACGAATGTTTAAATAAAAAAAGGAACAACGAACTGATATAATATCTATATTTATTTATTTTAAAATCGTTAACCTTGAAGATGTTCTATAAAATGATATTTTAAAAATCCACGAGCTTTGAGTACATTAGAATACTCTGGAAGAAAATATTTAAAAATAATTACAAATTAAATTAAAAAACAAGTAAGCAAAGGCTACAGTCGAGCGGGGCCGACAGTTGAATACCCTACAACACTATAATAAACCATACAGTTTATATAGGCGAAATACTCGACAGAATTCCACAAGATATTGTGACAAATAATAAAAGAAAACCATCAGGTTTCGTTCTCTAATTTTCGAATAATAGCAACTTTAACTAATTTGCTCATTTCCAATTTATTGGAAGATGTTGCACGTAAATGGTCTTCCTAGACCTGGAACCAATATTTCCCAAAGACCTATAATCTCTTAGAAGTGGCAAAAGATTAACATTTATTATTGGTTTTTGACTGAAACGCATCTATATGAGATACAGACATTTGACTATATTCTTCAACGAATTCAGCGTTAAAGAAATAGTCAGAAGTGCGTCTTTCCTGTATTTGTGAATTCTCCAAAAAGTCACTGGAATGGACATTTTCGTATTTTGTCTACAAAAGTTGGCAAACTATTTCACACATTGAATATTTTTGGATGGCCATCCAAAACTGCTTGGCTTTTGCAATGTCCGGTAACCCCCATTCAAATGTGCGTGAGGATCAGGCGATAATTACGACCTGCTGACAATTTTGCAGTTTTTTGGTTCATTTCAACCCCTAAATATATGGCGATCATCTCCAAAAAGAGTAGGCTCCTATTCTGACCCTCATCTTATCCCCATGCAATATTTCGTAAGGATCGGGCCATAAATGCGATCTGTATATGATATCCTGATATCCTAACTACTTAGTTTTGTTAGCTGTAGAAATATTACCAAATGTTTAATTCAAAATGAAAATATGCCAAAAATATGACAAAATTGAAAAAAATATGAGAAAATTTTACAAAATCAATATTATCATCTTTAGAGAGATATTTTTATGCGATTTTTTAGGCGTTTTTTCTTTTCTGCCAAGAGGCCATTCTGAATTAATGAGAACTGTCGAAATCAGTTCAGCCGTACTCGACATATAAGAGATCTTTCAAGCATATCTTCTTTGATAGACATATATATCGCACATATTTTGCTATATATTCGATTTGTTGGATCTTAACATCAATGTAAAGATCAGAAGTAACCTTGTCATGGCTTTGTGATTTCGCCGGGATTTAAAATATTCGCGGTTTAATGAAAAATGCTGAATTTTTTCAACAAAAAAGATATGGTCTATTTCACCCGCTAAATATTATCCGATGACCACCCAAATTGGTAGGCTTCTTCCCCTCCCTAAACTCTAGCTACATGCGAAATTCCGCGTCGATTGGTCTATAATTGCGACCTGTAAAGCTACTGCAAAATCCGAAATTTTTTCAGTATTTGGTCCATTTCAACCCCTAAACATTTGGCGATCATCTCCAAAAGAAATAGGGTTCTATTCTGACATTAACCCCACCTACATTTTAAATTTCGTGAAGATCGGGCCATAATTGCGACCTGTAGAGTGATTACAAATTAACATGGACAGACGGACGGACGGACATACATAGCTAGATCGACTCAGCTCGGCGAGCTAGGAAGATGCATATGTACTTTCCTATATGGGAAACCAATATTTCGAGGTGTTACATAAATTCTGGCCCAATCAAACTTATAATACCCCCAACACATAGTGTTTTAGGGTATAAAAAGGAACAACGAACTGATATAATATCTATATTTATTTATTTTAAAATCGCTAACCTTGACGATGTTCTACAAAATGATGTTTTTAAAAATCCACGAGCTTTGAAAATATCGATATGCTTTAAGTCCCTAAAAAAATTATAATTAAAAAATCTACTACCATCAAATACAATGCAAAAAAAAATTCTCAAAAATTTACGGGCATTAAAATATTCTGGAAAAAAATTAACAAGTAAAATAGTATCAGTCGACAGATATATACCACCAGCCTTAAGTTATTATTATTCAAAAAGTTGACCCTTTATGGGGGCGGTTCCGAAGCAGTTTGACAATATTGACCAATTCGTATCTGATCTAAGTCTGATAAAAACATACAAAGTGCCAGATTTGAACTATATCGAATACTTCTTATAATTTATATGAGATATCTGCAAATTTTTTGGGAAATATGGAATAAATATAGCGGACCGAAGTATAAGATTTGCATACTTCATCCTATATAGATAAAAATATTTATATGTGCAAAATTTGAAGGAAATCGAATTTATATCCAATTTTATGCGAAATCATAAATTTCGATAAATCCCACATTTATATCAGATTTCTGGTTAAGAGAAATATTTAAATATAGCAACTTCTAAAAAATCGTGGAATTATTTTGCAAGTTATGACAGATGTAAGTATTGGAATTTGTGACCCTTTGTGTGGGGGAGAAACCACAAGAAATGCTCTGATCTCTACCATATTTATAACAAATCTTGTGTTGATGAAAATATTGATATGTCTGCCAAGTCTGAATGGGACGGAAAATTTTGACTCTTTGTGGGGGAGGTGCCAGAAGGAGGGACCTATATATCCCTCTTCACGCCAGATCTTGGGTTGATAAAAATATTGTGATGTGTGGAATTTGAAGAGAACCAGATGCTTATTTCGGATTTTATGATCGTTCCGATTATTCAAAGCGTTGACCCTTTGTGGGGTAGGTACAAGGAGGAATTGTCCGATATCTACCATCTTTATAATAAAGGTCTTGTGTTGATGGAACTATTTATATGTGCCAAGGCTGTTTGGTGTTTTACGAGCTTCACGAATATTCAAAATTTTGACACCTTGTGAGGTAGATACCAGAACTAGTGGACAGATATATTCCATCTTCCCGCCAGACCTTGGACTAATTAAAATATTGTGATGTGTGTAATTTGAAGACAATCCGACACTTACATCATATTTTATAAGAGTTATATTTATTCAAAATATTGACCCCCACAAAGGTCCGGTCTCTACCATCTTTATAGCAGATCTTGTGCTAATAGAAATATTGTAAAGTCTGAATAGAATCGGATGTTAATTTCGTGTTTTATTGGCTTAATGAATATTCAAAATTTTGGTCCTTTGTGGGGGTGGTAGCAGAAGGTATGGTCCGGTCTCTACCATCTTTACGGCAGATCTTATGCTGATAGAAATATTGTAATTTGCCAAGTCTAAATGGAATCAGATGTTAATGTCGTGTTCTATTAGCTTTGTGGGGGAGGTACCAGTAGAAATAGTCCGATCTCCACCATTTTTATAACAGATCTTGTAAAATTGAGATGTGCCAAGTATGAATGGAATTGGATGTTATTTTGGTGTTTTATGAGCTTCATGAATATTCAAAATTTTGACCCATTGTGTGACAGGTACCAGAGGAAGTGGACCGATAGATTTCATCTTCCTGCAAGACCATGGATTAATAAAAATATTGTGATGTGTGGAATTTGAAGACAATCGGACTATTACATCATATTTTATAAGAATTATAGTTATTCAAAATTTTGAACCTTTATGGGGGAGGTACTTGTTGGAGTGGATCGATATTGACCATTTTCGTACCTGACCTAGCACAGATGCAAATATTAGGATTCGCAAAGTTGGAACAAAATCGTAATATCATTTCTCTTTCTGTGCAGTAAATTATTTTCTTTGGAAATTTTTACATTTTGTATTGGAGGTACCTGCAGAAGTGGACCGATATTGCCCATATCCGAAATCGATCTAAGTTTGACAATAATATTACGATGTACCAAGTTTGGATCAAATCGGAAACTCACTTCGAGAGTTATCGCGCCCAGCAGCCAGCCAAAGAGACG